GTCAAGCAACCTGAAAACAAGAAACGCCTCCAAGTGCGTGCAATGTGAATGTGATTGCTGCATGGCTGCAGATAATCTGATAATGGCAAGGTAAACTCGCATTTTTCTAGTCTGGTGATCAACACAGAAACCTAAGAGAATATAATTTATAAAGTGCAGTCAATAACAGGGGGGCGTAACCTGAAGTAACAAGTGCAAACCTGAACAGCCTAGGAGCTGGTGGTGGTTAGGGAAAGCAGTCACCCTTCTGACGGTGAAAGTGGACAGTCCTTACAGAAGATGTGCCAGGTGACCCAGGCCCCCATGTCTCATGGGCCCCAGATGTTCAGCTGGACCTCTAGAGCCCTAATATGAACTATAATGGAACAGCAGGGCTCTGTGTCTAGTGTGGCCCAGGCATCTGGGGGTTGTTATAAACTTGTATCAAAGGGATGGAGTGTAGAGGTCTCAAACCACTATCTGCACACATGTATGGCAGACAGGCAGGCCCGCAAGGGTTTAGGTAGATACAGGCTACAGAGGATGAACTGAATAGCCCAGTGTAATGGTGGGAACCAGCATTAGGGTTCTGCCACATGGTGCAGCTTGGGGCCTACCTAGATGTTCACTAGAATTAAGGAAAAATATATGAAATGAAAACTTGTACGAGATGACATCAAAACTTGCATGCTGCTTAGTGTATATCCTTTACATATGATAAAGGGATTCAAGAGGCACCAGTAAAAATCTACACATAAAGCAAAAAGTTCTTTATTATTTTCAGAAGATCAGGACACAGAAGGATCTAGCAATTAAACACAAAGAAATCCACATTAAATTTTCACTTAAATAACAATGAGAGCTAAATGCAGCTAATTATATACCTTTATCAAATGCATTAACTGATTCCTTAAAGTTTGTATCCAATTGCTATAATTAAGCTGCAATTTGATTCTAAATTATAGATTTCAAAGCATGCAAGCAACGGTCCAATGTTATCTATTTAATAAATTGAATTTGTTCACTTTCTGAACATTAAACAAATAATAGCATTTTGCCTATTCATTTGGAAAATAATCCTTACGATGTAGACAAAAAACTTGCATGTGTTCTATCTTGGCACTCTAAAAAGTCTAATATAATGATAATAATAGTATATATTATTATTATAGCACTGGAGATAACTTATAGAAGGGAAGAAAACTTTTAGGTGGCTTGGTTACTATAGATGACACCTCAACTTTTTCATGTCTTTTCAAGGTTTAAACAAAACACCAGGGAAATATAAAAAGACCCACATTTATAAAGCTCTACACGCAATAATACAATACATTTATTTTTTAATTACATTTTTTTTTACATTATTTTGTAAATTATCTTTATATCAGTATTTTGCAGTCTTCTATACAGCAAAGTGTAGACTAGGGAAAAGAGAAACAGCACAAGAAAACAAGGAGCTGTGCTAAAATGATTAAATGCTAATAAGGGACATGCTGATAGGAGGAGAGAGCAGGATGACAAAGAAGTGAGCCCAGCTGCCTGATGCTTGAACAGAAGCAGAGAATAATCAGATCTCTAGCTTTTCAAATGGGTGATGCTGTTTGGCAGAGCTATTTGGGTGGAGAGGATGGAGAGAAATAAAAATCTATTGGCAGGTAAAACAGCTTTCATAAATGTATTTTATCTGTGTATTTAACTATTTAACTAGAGTCCAGCTGTAGTAAATAAGCCATGTGAAGATAACCATCTATACAACAAAGCTTTGCATGGCTAACCCAGTTATTTTTAAGTTTTTAGGATAATAATGTTGCATAGCACAGGTTCTGCATATAAAATTTATATTACACCACTAGGATGAGGTAAGGGGAGGCTAAACTTGAATATGAGTCCTCCAACCCAACAGCACATCACACTTTGCAGTGTCGGATGGTCCACTGCATGTACCTGGGATGATCACCATGGACCCCTCTGCCTGGAAACCAGTTGAAATAGCATGCCATCAAGCAAGCTACAATATACGCTAGCTGTATTTTAAGCCCCTTTCACACTGTTCCACTATGGTTTTTGGTGCATATTTATGAAAGCACACCAAAAGTCCTGCAAGCATGAACCAACGTGAAAACCATGGGTACATGGCCAAACCTCTATACTCTCATCTCCATACGGCTCTCCACATAGGAAAAAGATCTCAACATGGTGTTTTATCCTTTATAAAGATTGGCTTTATTGACTCCAAGTATAACACTCACATGTGTTGTATTCAAAATCCGTATCACAATATGAACCGAGTCCTCCGCTGACTGTCAGAGGCATGCACCCGTGGTCCGGCAAACGAACTGACTCCCTCCGAGTGACGTTACAGTCCCACCCCTACGCGTTACGCCACTGGTCATGTGGCTTCATCAGGGGGATTTGATAGCTATCAAATCCCCCTGATGAAGCCACGTGACCAGTCGCGTAACGCGTAGGGGTGGGACTGTAACGTCACTCGGAGGGAGTCAGTTCGTTTGCCGGACCACGGGTGCATGCCTCTGACAGTCAGCGGAGGACTCGGTTCATATTGTGATACGGATTTTGAATACAACACATGTGAGTGTTATACTTGGAGTCAATAAAGCCAATCTTTATAAAAGGATAAAACACCATGTTGAGATCTTTTTCCTATGTGGAGAGCCGTATGGAGATGAGAGTATAGAGGAGTTGCATCCTCTGGAGAAGGGATCAATCCCAGAGCATATGTTAATAGCGGCGGATATCCATTGTTCCAAAGGAGGGAGTCCTAGTCAAGTAGGTTCCATAGGAGGAGAACCAAAAGCGCATATAGCCTAATTATAGGCAGAGAAGGAGGTGAGCGTACATCTGCACTAATGGGAGGATTCACAATCAGTCACGGATTCACATGCAATATGGATTGAAGATTAATTAACAGCACAAAGTCACTTTTATTATATGGGACACTGTTTTCACATATGCATTTATTAATTTATTTATGCACAATGATCATTTGAATAATTTTTTATAAGTGAAGTTATATTCATTCTTTAATCACAGGTATTATTTTAGTATAATCACGGAGGTTTCTTTTAATATCAATTCAGTATATTTTTTATGTCATTTGATTTATTATATATATATTTTTTTCTGCATATGGTTCTTAGGACATAGATAAAGTGATTCCATATATAAATTGGAGTGTTTTGGGAGCGCAACATTATAAGATTTTATTCACATTTTTTCACATTGGTAGTTATGTGTTAGATGTTTGCGATCCGACTATATAGAGGACATATATTTTATGTTGTATATTAGGGAGACCTTTTTTTGTTTTCTGGCTCGCAAGACACTTTAAATAATAAACATGGCCAAACCGCAGGTGATCAGTGTCAAGCCGCCCTAATACTAGTAAAACTGGATGGCCTTTGGCATGCTCTTATGTGTCAAACTACCATCAGTGGAAGCTGCAATATTGTTATTCATTAGCCAAGATAACTTCATGGCAGCCAGAGCAATATCACTCTTCTGCCATAGCACCAGAGGCCTACATTTTACAGAAACTAAAGCTAGTAACACACAGTTGCATTCCTGAAACAAAAAGTTCGCTCTTGGGGTGAACTTATGGTTAAAGTTCCCCAAGTCTTGTTACAATGTGAAGAACTTCTTCAAATGTGACAGTCCAGGAAACGTAAAAAACTTCTGTTGAACCCCAGTGATGACACTGCTTTTATGACAACTACAAAAAAGAAATAGTAATCATTTCCTACAGAACTTGCTCCAGAGCTCAGCTACCCAAGCTGAAAAAGCAAACATATTTTCTCTATAATGGGTTCTGCTGTATGTGCTGCTATATGTACTGCTACAGCCACAGTATTCATTTAGTTATTATAACTATAATATATTTGAAGAGTGATGAGCATTTGAGATTAAACACATTCTCTAGTAGAATAGACATTGCATCCTTTCTTCAATCTGAAAAAGCACTATTTAGCCCATTTTTTTCAAAGCATTAAAAATTAAAGTTGATCTGGTCACATTGTCAGTGTGATAAAAAAAAAACTGTACCTGATGGCAGAATTGAAATATAAATACTGTATTATAGTTTCCCCTTACTCCATATGCAACAATGGGCCTTCATTATACATCTATTAATATCAGTCACACACATATGGGTAAAAGCAGCATAAGCTCACTTGTGGCATGCCCTTTTACTAGTCTTCTCTATTTCAACTAATTTGAAACATGCTGATTGCCATGGACACTTTAAAGTGCTCAGAAGACATACAGATCAGAGGAAGCCTACAGGGTTCTCAGTTCTATAGCTTTAGTAAGCATGGAGGCTAAAGATAGCAAATAAACGTGCTTTACCTGCTGATTGTAAAGATTATCCAAGATACACTTCACACCACCAAGAAAAAAATAGCAATAGGAATTTGATAAAAAAATATATTAAAGAGGTTGGATGGAGCAGATAATAAATCTATTATCTGTGTATTTTTTTTAGGCCTGAGAAGCTTTGTTAGAGCATGTCTTTTTTATGCCTTTTGGCTTCCATCGTTATTTCCATCAAACTAAATGAAAAAAACATTGAAAGAGATTAAACAGTTTGCGTAGAAAATAAAGATTTCAGTTCAGCTAATGGATACAGAGCAAAATACTGTATGGCAGTGTCCACCAGGGGTACTGAGTGTGTAGGAGTGTGCCAAAGACCAACTATGGGAATTATTTGCAAAACGGGTGAACAGGTTACTTAGCCTGTAACAAAACTTTGGTGGGCCATCGTGACCGGTTATCAGGAAACAGTGTCCTTGATGACCAGCCTGGTTTCTACAAGGGCCACTGGGATCAATGGGTAGACTGTTCCTTTGACTGAAGTAAGAGGATAACTTTTGTAGACTGTATTTTTGCAAATGCTGCCCTTGACTCAATATTTCTTAACCACCTCCCGCCCGCCATACAGTAATATGACAGACGCAAGGTGGGTCTCTCCTTCTGGGAGGACGTCATATGACGTCCTCCCATTCTCACCGCGCATGCACGGCTCAGGGAGCAAACGGACACAGTGGATCACTGATCACGGAAAGAGTCGAAGATGTCAGCTCAGTCGTGTGATCAGCTGTGTCCAATCACAGCTGATCACATGTAAACAGGGAAATGCCGGTTATCGGCATTTCTCTCCTCTCGAGCTGTCACGCTGACAGCTCTTGAGGAGAGGAGAGCCGGTAATCGGCTTTCCACGGAGGGGACATGTACACTGATCATCAGTGTGCCCTAATGATCAGTGTAGCCCCAGCAGTGCCACCTGTCAGTGTCCATCAGTGCCTTGTGTCAGTGCTCATCAGTGCCTCGTGCCAGTGCCCATCAGTGCCACATCAATGCCACATATCAGTGCCTACCAGTGCATATCCATGCCACATATCAGTGCCCGTCTGAGCTGCCTTTCAGTGTCACCTATCAGTGCCAGTCAGTGCCACCTATCAATGCCAGTGTTGCCAGTCAGTGCCGCCTATCAGTGCTCATCAGTGCCGCCTATCAGTGCATGTCAGTGCCACCTATCAGTGCCAGTCAGTGCTGCCTAACAGTGCAGTGCTGCCTAACAGTGCCAGTCAGTGCTGCCTAACAGTGCCAGTCAGTGCTGCCTAACAGTGCCAGTCAGTGCCGCCTAACAGTGCCCTGTATCAGTGCTGCCTTTCAGTGCCCATCAGTGATGCCTGTCAATGCCCATCAGTGCCACCTACCAGTGCCTCATCAGTGCCACCTATCAGTGCAGCCTATCAGTGCCCATCACTGCAGCCTCATTAGCGCACATCAGTGAAGGAGAAAAATCACTTACAAAATTTTATAACAAAAACTAAGAAAAAATGTTTGGGAAAATAAACAAAGTGATAATTCCTCTATTCAGAGCCCTGTGTTGTTTATCAACACAGGCCTCTGGGCTAATCAGCAGGTCCTGGCTATGAATCATTGGCTAGGATCTGCTGACAAACTCCTGCTGTGTCAAATCACAGGGGAGTAGGCAGACAAGGGCGAGTATGCGCGCTGTCAACCTGAGAACCACTTCAGACCACTACAGGTACATTATTTTGCGTGTACGGGCTGCCCCGCTACAGTAAATGTACTGCGGTAGGACCAGAAGCATCTAAGAAGCTGACCACCATGAGGTGGGACTCTTGAGTGACAGGTTACTTATGCAGAATTATACAGAGCCTCCTCCCTTGCCTATGAACATCTTGCACTAGGGGCTGCTAAAAGGGGCTTCATCAGCATTACAATCAGCAGACCACCAGGCAAATGTTTTAAGCTGGTTATACACTAGTAGATTTTTGTAAAAAAAAATTCTTTGTACATTCAGTGACTGGAGAAATGTCATTTGAATGTGCTTCAAAATGTAGATTTTTTTTTGCTCTTCGCAATTGGTTTTGGAATTAATGTCATTTTCCAAATGAAAAAGACATGAGAAATGAGAGACATGAAAAATTTGAAACAAAGTTCTAATAGTGTATAGCAAGATTTAGGCTGTACTTGAGCAGAGATTATTCCTGGGGATTTTGAAGCCTATTTTTCAGGTGAATTATGGGCGTATTACAAGCACTTTTGCTATAGGATCAAGCTTGAGGAGTTCATTTCCCAGACTGGACAAGGGGTATCAACTGTTTCACAGAAGGAGTGGAGTTATTTAGGCATGCAAAGATGCATTACAATATGCAAAAAACACACACATTGCACATTTACAGGTGCTCCCATTGATGTCTATGGAACCAAAAATGCCTGAATAGTCTAAAGGTTATGTATTTGTTTTAGCATATGGCGTATAGCGTAGGGTGACTGAGCATACAAATGTAAGCAGGGAAATGAGCAAAAAAAAAAATGCTCACGTGTGAATGGATGTTCATATTAACCACTTGCCCTCCAGAGGATTCACCCCCCTTCCTGACCAGGCCATTTTTTTTTTTTGCAATATGGTACTGCGTTACTTTAACTGGCAATTGCACGGTCATGCAACGCTGTACATAAATTAAATTTATGTAATTTTTTTTTTCCCACAAATAGAGTGGTATTTGATCACCTCTGCGTTTTCTATTTTTTGTATTCTAAACCAAAAAAAAGACCAACAGTTTTGAAAAAAAAAAAACAAATAATATTTTTTGCTATAAAAAAAATCCAATATAAAAATTTTAAAAATCTAATTTTCTTCCTAAATTTAGGTCAAAATGTATTCCACTACGTCTTTGCTAAAAAAAAAATTCCAATACGTGTAAAGTATGTTTTAGCATCTACAAATGGTGGCATATATACTGGATTTTTTTTATACTAGTAATGGCAGTGATCAACGACTTATAGCGGGACTGCGGTGGGCATTCTAACACTGGGTGGGAACTAACTGCCACTGATATCCCCAGTGACACTAATACAGCGATCAGTACTAATAAAAAGCAATGACACTGTACTAATGACACTGGGCAGGAAGGGGTTAACATCTGAAGCGATCAAAGGGTTAACTGTGTGATGTGTGTGTTTTATATTGTGTGCTGTGTTTTACTAGGGAGACATGCTGTGCAGAGAGATACAAAACAGCATGTCCATGCTGACAAGAGAGAGACCTGTGTTTACCAAATGATCACCGAGTGGCGGCCGGGACCCGGTGATTGACATCTCTAGCAGCCAATAGTGGCAAGGGTAGGGAGGTGCACGAGTCCACTACCCGGAAATGCAAATCACACACACATATATATATATGTATGTGTGTGTGTGTGATTCAGACCATCAGACCATCCTGAACTCAGCTGCCAGACTCATCCACCTCTGCCATCCCCCTCTGCCTCTCCCTCCACTGGCTCCCCATTGCCCAACGCATTAAATTCAAACTGCACACTCTGACCTATAAGGCCATTCACAACACTGCCCCTAACTACCTCACCAACCTGATTCCCAGGTACCACCCTACCCGTACCCTTCGCTCTTCACAGGACCTCCTTCTATCTTGCTCCCTGGTCTCCTCCTCCCACGCACGACTGCAAGACTTCTCCAGGTCCTCCCCCATCCTCTGGAACTCACTACCCCAATCCATCAGACTGTCACCTTCCCTCCTCACCTTCAGGCGCTCCCTGAAAACCCACCTCTTCAGGGAAGCCTACCCCACCCTCACCTAACAGCCGCTGCCCCCCTCCCTCCCCCTACCACTCCATCCCCCACAGCCATTTCCTCCTGTACTTCTACCCCCTCCCTCCTAGATTGTAAGCTCGAAAGAGTAGGGCCCTCTTATCCCTTGTGTGCTGTTCAATGTTACTGTACTGTTTCATGTATTGTCCCCCCCTCTTGTACAGCGCTGAGCAAACCCTTTGGCGCTATATAAACTCGATAAATAAATAAATATATATATATATATACATACATACATACATACACACACACACACGATTTTTTCCGCAGCCCTGCCTCCCTGTAGCAGTACTTCTGCTATACAGAGGCAGCAAAGCAGTTAAAATGTTGAAATAACAAGCTAGAGAAATATAAAACATTTTTTACTTTAATACAAGGAATACATTAAGGTTAAAAAAAAGTTTTTAGCTTTAATATCACTTTGTCTTCCCCCTTCCCTTCTTGTGAAAGAGGGGAGAATAGATCCAGTACTGTGCACTGTTGTTAAATTTCACTTAAAAAAACCCAACATAAAATTGCAACAGAAGACATATTGTAATGTATTGTTATTACAAATGAGCTTTCCTTTTCAATCTGCAGTGCTTTCATTTTCTATAAAATTCAAAGCAATATGGCTACCTTAAGGCATTCGATACATCTTTGGTGTATGGTACACCCCCCAGAAAAGAAGATCCCCCACACATTGCTTTTCTTGAATTCTATGACACATACTGTATTTACTCTGCCCTGTGGCACTGCTGTGTCACACACATTTCACAGAGCCTGCCTTCTGAACTACAGAGGTGCTGAGAGAAGGAGTTTCAGGAGGCGGAGTCAGTACAGGAATCACTGATTACTGCCAGCAAGGTACCTTGGGACATATAGTCCTTAGAAACTGAAATTAAAAAGCAGAGGAGAAACAGGCAGGGAAACCTGCTGTGAAACATGCAGGGAATCCAGAAGATTGTGGAAAGAGATGGCCAGCAAACAGGCAGCACTCGTAACATTAAAGGAAACTGTTCAAATCAGATTATATTGGATTGTGAAAAATAACTCTTGTTTGTATTGTTATTACAATGCTGATGTTGTAAAATTAAAGTGTTTGTTGCGACCAAAGATTTCCTTTAAATGTTTGTTTGGAGCTCTGCTTTAAAGAAGAGCTGGAAGTCTAAAAGCCACTGCAAACCGTTAATCCCCTTCAAATACCATGATTTCTATTTAACTTTTTCCTCTGCATGTCGGAACACTGTTAGCTAAAGGATTTGTGCTGACAATGCAGTTATTCAATGTCAACTGTGACTGGAGTTCTTTAAAGCGATAGTAACCTCCACTGTAATATTTGTATTTTGGGGCCCCCCAGGTGGGTTATGTTTATAACATGCTAGTATGCATGGCATATTGATACATGATGGCAGACATACCTGTGCCCTCCAGCGCTGCGGTGGGATCAATGTGGAGAGCCTGTGGTGCTTCCATCTTTGCCTGGTCTTCCTTCCGGGTCCTGTGCCTTTGGCCTTGCAACAGGCCAGGCTGCGATGATGTCACTCCCGCACATGCACATGGGAGTCACATCGTTGCAGCACGGATTGGGGCTGTAAATGTTTGCTGAGCCACGCATGCACGGCTCAGTGTACATGACAGCTGACAGGCAGGAGGATGCATTTATGGCAGGAGAGACCAATAGGGTCTCTTCTGTCATAAATACCTGCATGCCCAGCAGCTTTTTAAATTTTGACTTTACTTCCACTTTAAAAGAGAAAAGACAAAATAAATGTGCAATATAACAGCATTTTACCAATGTCTACCTCGTGTTTGTGGGCACACTGTTGGGAAGAAGAAGTATTGAATCAGAAATACAAGCTTCTAGCAGAAAATGATTTACTATGGTGTGGAATACAAACTGTTACACTCAATTCACCTTGTTCCATCAGTATCCCCCCCCAAGCCAAAAAGACTGTGCGCCCACTAGGAGCTCATTTGTACAATTCAGCACAGACACAGAAGTTAAAAAAAAAAAAAAAAACACATTCAAGCACGTGACCTGGCATTATGCGAGTCTGTTATATGTGTAAATTATTTTAGTGAGTGCAGTCTAACTGCAAAATACATGCATGACTTATATATGTATTATTCTGCATCTGTGTGTATATCCTATATTTCACAGAATTATGTTATGTCTATAAAAGAATGGTCTTATTTAGTATTCATAATATTTATTTAAACATTTGTTAATTAGTTACATATATAGCACTAGCAATTTATGTGGAATTTTAATAGTGTACATTTACATCAGTCCCTTCCCACAAGCAGTTTACAATATTGGCTCCCTATTTCACATGCAAACATACACACACACTAGGGACAATTTCCACAGCTTGAATTTATAACTCAGAATTTGGATCTCAGAATTAGGACCTCGGAAGT